GGAATCCGGGGAAGGAGGGGTCCCAGGGCGCTGATCCCCTCTCCCAGGGCCCCCACCGAGGAACTTTGATGATGGCCTTGCCCTTCAACAGCATTCACTCAGCGTCTTTCCTGGGCGCCGCTGCGTGCCTGGTGCACCGGACTCCGAGGTCCATCTCCTCTCCTATGTCTGCCCATTTGTCCACCCTTGGGTTGGCCTAAGTGCTGAGGGTGAATCCAACCCACGCCCCAACCCTGGCGGGGTCTGAAGGAGAGGGTTTGGAACTGGGAGGAGCAGTGAGATGCTGCGGAATTGGGGAGGGGTTCTAGGGAGGGGGCTACAGCCTGGGGCAGGGAAAGGATCTTTGGGTCACAGTTGCCTCCTTTTGGGGTTCAAGAGGAACATAGCAACAATAGTCACCCCCTGGGCAAGTTAGTCCACAGGAGAGTTTATGTCCCTCGGTGGTCCTTCATTTCTTTGGGGGAGGGACCCTAGAGGCTGGGAAGGGTTGCTAATCAATCACTGGGTGTTTCGAAGCAGAGGGATCTCAGGGTCTGCTGGGTGGGGCAGCCTGGGGGGTGTTAAGACAGTTCTGGGAAAGATGTGATGAGGGATGGAGGTGGGGGTGGCAAAGAGACGTCCAGGTCAGTGTGGAGGGTAGAGGTAAATTCAGATGGATTGACAGTGGAGGGGAGTTGGGGTCTTTCTGTCAGAGTGGATGCTTCTGGAGGGCCGGCGGTAAGTAAGACATAGGGGCTGGGAAGGTAAGTGAGGAAGAAGCCCTGTCGCCTCCCACATCGCTAGGCCTCGCCTTCTGGGGTAGAAGGGTGGCTTCCAGACTTACCCCTTCACCAAGTGAGGCTGCTCCTGGTCCACTCAGCTGCAGGATGCAGCCCCTTTCCTCCCGTCCTCCCCTTCAAGCCCCTTCTCCTGCCCTCCCAGGATCCCCTTGGTTCATGGCTGGGTGTGGAATCACAGGCTCTCCCTCTGTGCACAACTTCCAGGCCCTCAGATGGCTCTGCGGTGCTCCTCTGGGCCAGGGAGACCTGGGTGCCATTCCCATTCCCAACCACAGGGCTCTAGGGGAGATTGGTCTCACCATCCCTCCCTTCTGTCCCCCTTCTACCCCAAGCCTCACTTCCCGGACCCTCCTCATGGGCCCTCAGTCCCCAGTTCTCTCTCTCTGTGGCTTGGAGCATCAGTCTTTATTACAGAGAAGCTGGATGCAGAGCTTAGTGTAAGGATGAGGAAGAGCCCCGGCTGGACCACGCTCGGAAGCCTCCCAATCCACCCCTGTTCTCCCACCCCAGTCCCTCCTAGGGGCTGCAGTACTCCTCTGCTGAAGCCAGACCGCTTTCCAGCCTGCAAGCTGGGCGCCGGCTCCCTCCCAATCCCTCCCTCCCTCCCTCCCTTCTCTCCCTGGGCGCTGAGCTGTGGAGCAGAATGATTTCCTGTAATTGGCCAGCAATCCGGCTGCCCGACTTGTTCTATCGACATGCTGGTTAGCTGGAAATTGTATTGGAATCTGAGCGATGGGGAGGGGCAGGTGGGGAGCGAAGGGAGGAGGCTCTTTGGGCCCCCAATGGGTGCAGCCTCAGCTCTGTGGGTGAGCCAGAGGAGCCACCACCTCTCTTGGAAAGGAGCGGGAGAGCGGCCCAAAGTGCCTCCCCACCCTTGCATCGCGCTCCTCCTCTTCTGCCATCTCTGGGGGTCTCCCCTGCCCGCCTCTATGTGGCCCCAAGGCCTCCTCGGGTCATCACTGCCACCCCATTCCCTCTCCTGCCCCTGGGACTGGTTTCTCCTGAACTAACGTGCCTTTGTGAGAACTAGGGGACACTTAGCAGACATGGCCGTCCCTCTCCCATCCGGGTTCTGGCCAAGGAGGCTCATTATGGAGAGTCCCAAACCTCCCCCGCCCCTCCCTTCAACCTCCCCCAGGAAAGGAAGAGGCTGGACATCTGAAGAAGTTGACGGCAACTCCTAGACAGAGTCAGAGTGTAATTAATGAGGCAGTGCAGGTAGTGGGAGGGGCATGTCCCGGGGAGTCCAGAAGCTTGGTGATTGTGCCTGTTGGTTACCTGGGCGCGGGGGCTCAACCACAAATTCTAGCCCTGCTTCCTTCACTCTTTCACCGAGTTGGCAGATTTCAAGGAGATGACTGCGTGAAAGTGCTTGGTAAACTGTAAAGCTCTGCTAGTTATGCTAGGGCCAGCCCGGGCCTGGGGATGGGGGCGGTTTAGGGGCCTTGCCTGTCCCCTTTGCCCCCACCGAGAGGCCGTGGCAGGTGTCTCTGCTGCTCCGCGGGGTGGGTAAGGCCCAGAGTCCGGGAATGGAGCGCGGGGGCCGAGCGCGCGGCTGGAGGGTAGGAGGCCAGGGTCCCGGGCCGGTCACCCTCGCGAGGGTGGGATGGGGACACATCCCTCCGCCCCGCGGCGCCAGGAGCACGCGGGGCCCGCAGCTCCTGCAAAGAGGACGCGGCGAGCCGCATAGCTTTTTAATTAGCGCCCGGGGCCAGGCGGCGCGTCCGCGTTCCCGCCGCAGCCGCGTGGCGGGGCATCTGAGGCGCCCGCGGTGCCGGAGCGCGACCCGGGGAAAGTTAGTAACCGCTCTGCGAGCGCCCGCCGCGCAGGCCCCACCCCAACCCGGGCGGGTGCTGCCACCTGCCGGCCGGAGAGGAGGCCGCCCGCTCGGGCGCGGGGCTGGACTCCCGGTGGCCTGGCTCCCACTGTTTCGGGGCTGGGGCGGGCGGCAGGAGTTGGCCTAACGGTGAAGTCGGGCCCCATCAGGGAAAGTAGGCCTCGTTCTTCGTTTTCTTTCTTTTTTTAAAGTAAGCTCTAAGCCCAATGTGGGGCTCGAACTGGACCTGGAGATCCAGCGTGGCATGCTCCACCGACTGAGCCAGCCAGGCACCTCCCGTAGGCCTTCTAGAAGGCTGCCTAGGGCCCCGAAGCCTGGGAAAGGGAGGCCAGAGGAGGGAGGCATGATGGGGAGATGGGAGGTGAGGCAGGACCAGGGCAACCGGGAAGACTGGCCCGCCTTTTCTGCACACCTGCCAGTCTGACTATCCTCCGGCATTTTTGCATCAACTTCAGCAAGAGAGCAAATAATTCTTTCGAACTTTACAGTTGGCAAAGGGCTTTCACTGCCCTCCGCTTATCAGGCCCTTTGACGTAGGCATCATGAAGCTAACTTGATCAAAGAAACACCAGTCAGGCGGTCCCATTAAGGAGGTTGAGCCCCACTACGATCCCAGGGCTGTTCCTCCCTGGCTAGGCTCAGGGGCACAACCGCCGGGGCCCAGTGCCTGGCTCTGGGGCCTGCATCAGATCCCTCGACCTCTCTGGGCCTGGAATCAGAGTCATGTCACCCATAGGGGGTTACACCTCCAGCACCCTGTCCAGAGGGTCACAGGCATTCGTGAAGAGTCGTTTTCTCACCGACCGGGCTGACAGGGCACTGTAAGGGGTCCATGCCTCTCCTCTTCCTCCTCTGGCCAGGCCCCAGGAACCCGGGGAGGCAGCAGCCTTCTGCTTTCCCACCCTGCCCTGGCCCCTGACCTGCAGCCGGACACCTCCTTGCGGAGCCTTTTTTTGCCCCCCCCCCGGGGCGGGTGTGTGCAGTGTGTTCACGAGCTGGCCTCCGAGGCACAAGCAGCTCTGGGAAAGGGGACACAAAACATGGCCACCACAGCCTTGTTGCGTTTGTCATGTTTAGTAGGCTGCTGGGCAGGATCAGCACCTCAGCAGGTCTGCCAGCGGTGGCAAGAAAAAGCCGAAGTCTACACTGGTCTAACTGGTTGGGGAAGGAAGATGGAGCGAGTAAGTGGGATGCTGCCCCAGCCCCTCCACCCACCTCCCACAGGGTACACCTGGGCCTAGCTGGAATCCTCTGGGGGCCTCAGGAGACATCAGAGGGCTACTGAACCTCTGGGGCCTGGGGAAGTGAGGGACCTGGGCCTCAGTGTGGGAGGAGGCCAAGTGTAACCCCAAATGGCATCGGCCAAGTCTGGGAACCTCAGTCAGTCCACGGTGCTAGGGGAGAAATGGCAGTGCGGGGCATTTCAGATCAACACACCTTATTTTATTAAGCACCAATGGCGAGTCAGGCTCTGCACCAGGAACATGGAGATAAACAAGATGCAGTCCTGGCCCTCGAAAGGCTTACAGTCTAGTAGGAGAGACCAACCAGCTTTTGGCTGATTACAATTCTGTGGATTAAAGTAAAACATGGTAGGGTGGGGTGGGCAGGGGGCTATCCCAGAGCACCCGACCCAGCCTGGGGCTCCAGATGGTGCTCGGGAGTTATCCAGCTATAGAGAAATAAAAGGTATTCTAGGTGAGGGAACAGCACGGCGAAGGCACAGAGGCAGGAAAGAGCCTCATGCGTGCAGACCTACTAAGAGTTCAGGGCAAGGAAGACACGGAGTGGGAGGCAGCCTGGTGGCAGGTGGGGAGCGGGTATGGGGAATGCCGGAGAAATGCCAAGGTGGCATTTCAGTAAGCTAAAAAAGCATCACAGTAAGCTAAACACCACCCAGTCTGCCGACTCCAAGGTGGGGCAGTGGGTCATCCCACAAGAGGCCCCGCCACAGCATTACCAACAAGGGAGTCCTCACTGCATCCTGGCCAAGGGCTTCAACCTAGGGGAGAATCCTGTCCGAAGGTGGCAGCCCTTGGTCCACAATCATTTCCCTGGTCCAGGATGCAGGTTTTGGTCATGATGGGGCATGTGCCTGGAGAGGGTTCAAGCCCAGGGAAACTCCCAGTTTTGAACACTGTCGATGGACACAGAGACTGTGTCCCTGGCCTGCACCCCCAAGAAATTTACAACAGTTTCCCACCATGGTTTTCATGCCGCATCATGGGCACCGTTCTGTGGGTGGGTCCAGATGGAGGGGCCCTCGGAAGGTGGGGAGGAGTATTTACTGACAGGCAGTTTCCCTGCCTCAGACAGGATGCACTCCAAAGGGTGGGGGGAGCAGGGGGGCAGTGCCGGGCAGCCCAGAGCGTGTGTGTGTGTGTGTGTGTGTGTGTGTGTGTGTGTGTGTGTGTTGATGGGCTTGGGAGGAAACAGGAAGCATTTGTTACCTGCTTCAGCCTCTGAGGAGACCAAGGCCTGGTGCTGCATGCGTTGGGAGTGCCCGGCTAGGGGGAGGGCAGGAGGTAGTGGGTGAGCAGGTAGAGGAGGCTGGCAAGGCCCACTAGACCTGTCAGGACCCCGAGCCTCAGGGGCAGGTACTCCAGGGAGCGCTCCAGCTCGGCGTGCAGGAGGATGACCTGGCGTTTGGTGCTGCTCCACTCCCCCGAGTTGTCTAGGACATGGCGGGCCATGCGGGCCTTGTCCTTCAGGGGCAGCTGGGCCTCGATCCGGGCCTCTGCGTCCTCCCGGTTCAGGTTGTTCCGCTGCATCAGCCGCGCCAGCTGTGTGTCCCGGTCACTGCGGACGGGCCGGGAGGGCTGCTTAGGCACCGCAGGCCCCGCCCTCCCTCCCACGGGCAAGTCATGGGGTGGGGGGGGCGGGCAGTCCCTTCTTTCAAATCTCCTTCGGGGCCACGGCCAGGGAGGGAGGCTACTCCCACCTCATCGCATGCTTTGTGGGGACCCTAGTAGCACCATGAGCTCCGGAAGTCCCTCAGCATCAATGGGAGCGGGGGGGGGGGTGTTGCAGCCACTGCTCTCTGCCATCTGAGGTCTCTCTGCCTTGCTACTAGGCCTGCGACTTCCCAGTTATAAGCTGGGAAGATCTGGTCATCTGGCATCAGCTACATCCTGAGTCCCTGGATGGGTGACCTTTACTGGAAGGCCTGTGCCTGCAAACCAGCTGCTTCCTATAGCTCCCCTGGGGCTTGGGCCTGCTGCACCCAAAACAGCTTCCTGAACCACCACACACACCCCTCTCCTTGCCTTCCCACTCCCACCCTGGACACTGGCAGCCAAGACAGCGGCTGCCCTTCGAGATGCCACAGACACAGTGGGACCGGCCAGCCCCAAGGTGCTTCCCCTTGGAGCAAGGGAGCTGGATCTGGTCCTTGGGACAGGACAAAGCATCACAGTAAGCTAAACACCACCCAGTCTGCCGACTCCAAAGGAAATTCAAAGAATAGGTCTTTCGCCCACTCTGATGTTACCACCTAGGTCCTTCCTCAGGAAACTTACTGTCTTGTCTTTGGCTGCACAGGCTGCCAGGCTGTCCTCTGGAAGGGAGTCATCTCTAATCTCTCTCTAGCTCCGTGGCTACCTGAGCCCCTCAGGGGGAACGAGAGGGAGCGGGCTCTGCCATCTGGGGGCTGTCTGCTTTGCCCCTAGGCCTGAGCTCTCCCAGCTCTACAAGATGGTGTGGCCTAGACCAGAGGGCCTCCTGGGGTGTGAAAACACACCTTCCAAGGACAGACACAACCTGAACACTGGTCAATTCTAATGCCGTTCAGAACAGAATGCTCCAGAAAATCATTTCTGGCTGGCCAATCAGAGAAGACTTTGTAGAAGGATGGCGTCTATACCGGCGTTTAAAAAGTAAGTTGACTTCTCATTTCCTTTGTTACGGGGACAGCGTCCTGTCAAGGTTACGGGGCCAATCCCTGCCTGGCTAAAAACAAGGACTGAAGCTTGGGGATGCTGTGAATCTGGGGCTAGGGAAATCTGAGTGAACGGAGGTGGCTTAGAGCCACCTGTGAGGGCACAGCCTTCAGAACGTGTGGCCTAGGCCACAGAGCTTCCTGGAATGTGAAGGCAGAGCTCCCTCACAGCCCTTTCTGGGGCCCAGAGAGAGTCCCATATGTTCAAGGACTGATGCTATTTATGGGAATAGGACTTTTACCCAAACACTTACTCTGCAATTGGCAAATTTCTCAAAAATATGAATAATCCCATTTTGGTATAATCACACTTTGGTAAATGCCCCATATTATTTCAAATGCACCGGGGATAGTCTGATAGTTAAAGGAATCCATGAGGGGATCTTGAGTTTTGTCCAGTGTAGATCCGTTTTATGAAAAGCAAATAATCACTCATTCACATGTCTCTGGCCTCTCTCTCGAGCCTGAAAGCGGGGCGTGAACAGCACCTGGGATTCCGGTAAAGGCTCCTGCGGTCGGTGAGCGGGCCTGGAGGGTCTCCTGCAGAACAGGCCCCATTTATGGAACCCAGCATACTTGCCCGGAGCCACAGTGCTCTCTGCTCTTAGCGAACAGACCAAGCCGGCAGGAAAGTGCAGCAAGGCAGGGCAGGTGTGGGGTCATCTGGGTCATCTGGGACTGCAGATACAACCAGTGTTCTCACCTCTGCTAGAGGATTCCCCCTCAACCCCTTTTCTGATCCTTTGGTGCAAAGTTCCAATTGTATTAAGACTCCAAGGCAAAGTCTTCATGGAGTGTGCTTGGCCTCTGCTGATAGCCTTTCACGGACAGGGAGTACAGAAGCCAGAGAGGCTGACGGTTTCCATGGGAGACACGGGCCAGAGGGGGCAGGTATGAGGGCGCCTGAGTCCCTCCAGGAGGCTCACCAGATTCACACTGGGCTTTCCAGGGCAGGCCTCGGTGGGAAGGGTGGGCAGGGTGCAGCTTAGGGCATGAGCACTCCAGGCCCCACCTCCGCCGGTGCTAGGAGCCTCCCACGCACCAGTCTCTGGAGAGCCAGCCTGTGCCCAAAATACCCACACAGCCAAGTGCCCACCTCTGTGTCTGTCTGCTGTACTTGTGGGTGGCATCCAGGAAGTTTCTGGGAGGCAGAGACACCCTGCAGCCTCATCTACTCTCTCCCCCGACTGGGACTGGGACTCATTTTCTCTGACAGTTTGATCTGGCTCTGTTTGCCAAACCTGGATTCTGGTTTGTGTTGTGTCCTGAGGGATTCTGAGAACAAAGCTCCCTCCTTAGTTGGACTCTGACAGTTCCCTCCTGGCAACTGTCTATTCTTAGGTGCTGCAGGGGGTGGGTGGGAGGGGGGACCCTGGACACCCCCTCAAGTAACTCCCCCCTCGAGTTTCTCTTCTGTAATTCAGAAGGATCAGCTCCTGCCCTAAACACCTCATGCTGAAAGGTAAATTGAGTGAAGCAATAATAAATGTGGGAGCTGTCTGGCAAGGTGAGAAGTGCTAAAGGAGGGAAAAGGCTCCCGTGATTAACAATATGGTAGCTCAGGGCATCTGGGCTGAAGTGCCCCCAACTGCCAGCAGGGGGAGCCCCTCCCAAGCAACTAGAGATGCCTGGGGGCCTTCGCGTCCCACAACTACTTGGGGGCACGTCTGGGTGAGGCGCAGAAGTCGTTCCTATAGGTTTTGGACACAGCCACCCAAACCCCCAGGGCCTCCTGGTCACCCCGTGGGGAAAGGGCAAAGCGATGTGGGCCATATCTCAGGTACCTGCTTTACTCTGGGGGCCCACGTTTCCAGCCTTGGTCAGGCCTGGCCATGACACACACTCACCAGTACACCACCACCGTGTGCTTCATGTACTTGAGCAGCTTCTTGGTCTCAAACAGCAGGGGGATGTCCAGGATCACATAGCGGTATCCTGTGAAGAAGACGGGAAGCCCATGGTTCAATTCTGCAAGCAAACACTAAGCACTGTGTGTCAGGCTAGGGGACAGAGTTGGAGCCACTGGCCCCTACCATCGAGAACTCCCTAGCAAAGGGATATCCTGCGAGGATAGGCATAACCTCAACGCTAGCCGGCTCCAATACCATTCAGAACAGAATGCTGCAGAGAGTCACTTCTGCCGAAGATGATCAGGGAAGGCCTTGCAGGAGGGATGGCATTTGTACTGGCCTTGAAATGCAGGTAGGGCTTCTGATACTTGAACATGAATGTCTGGAGGTGGGGGTTCCAGGAATGGGGGACAGCAAAGCATCAGGAGCAGCGAGGTTCTACTGCTCTGGCTGCGGAGGCCTCGCACAATGGGAGGCAAAGCTGGTGAGGTGAGCAGGGCAGGCACCAAGGGTTGAGTTCACCTTGATCTTGAACCTAAAGGGTTGTTATTTATGAGCAAGGAAATGACACAGAGTTGGAGGAGACTGGGAAGTTTCCAGGAGGAACTGGGCCCTTTCTGCCCTCCTTCACTTATCATCTTGGCTCCAAAAAACCCTAAAAAACAAAAACAAGAACTGGGCCCTTTCTGCCCTCCTTCACTTATCATCTTGGCTCCAAAAAACCCTAAAAAACAAAAACAAGAGTGTGGCTCCCTGCTGGAGAAAAGTCCTGCATGGCCATCTCTGCCAACTCTTCACGAGAGACTCCTACAGGGGGCGGCGGCAGGAGCCCCAGAAGGGAAGAGGTGGCTTCTCTGCACTGGAGGCAGGCCCCCCGCCAAGGACTGCAGGGGCCGCTCCGGCGGTGGTGGGTGGTCGTGACTAAGATATAAGGCATTCCAGTGTGGTAAAAGGCACTGGCTGGCCCTTCCAGTACAAGCCAAGGCCAGTCAAAGGCGGAACCCTCACCCACGGTGACAGGGGGTGTCCCGGGGCTGCCCACCCCCAAATACCGCGGGCTCCCCACTCCTAGTTCTCTTTGGGCCAGGATCCCTTGTGTAGGTGTAAAAAGCTGGCAGGGGTCCCAGAGCCATGAGGGAAAGGGATGGGCACCACCTCCACCCAGAGATGCCTGCCTGGCTTGAATGGTATCCCACCGCAAACACTTCCCACCACAGAGCCAGACACATGCACAGGGGACAGGGCAGGCGACCCGAGCCACTGTGGTTCCTGTTCCCCGGGATCTGCTGCTCAGGAAGCCCCAGAAAATCCTTCAGCTGAACGAGGGGGTTAGGAGAATGGGCTGTGATGACATGCCTGGGTTTGAGGCCCCACCCCACTTTCCCACCATGTGACTTTGGGCCCCTGAACAAACCTCATCTGTGAGCGAAGGCTACCTCCCTCCCAGGAAGATGGTAAGGATCAAACGAGAGAAGGCTCGTAAACCACTCCCAGTGCCTCCCCCAGACACTCCCAAGTGCTCCATAAATGAGGGTTATTATTACTACCGTTCCCTGGAAGAAGGGGGGGACCCACAGTTCCAGGTCCCCTGCTCCCCTCCCAGCTCAGAACAGAAGCCAAGACCAGACCCTCTCTGGGCCTCTTACCTCCCTTTGCTGCTCTGCCCCCACCCGTCCCTGTCCCCACACTGTCCGTTCTCCTCGGCCCCTCTCGGGAGCTCGTGGCCAGCTCTTTGGTTCACCGGCAAAGGGCTATTCAGCTGTCACATCCCTCCTGCTTGATAAGCTCTGCAAACTATCTGGACTCTATTAAGACATCCGTCTGCCTACACAGAGACCTCCCCAACAGCTGGTGATCTTATCTGACGTCTGATTATACCAACTTTGACAGTTGTATTTGTTATACTCATCAGGGAAAAACTGGGACTGTGGAAGCCACAGCTGTCGTCCCCATTTTTCACCTTATCGAGCTGAAAAGAGCTTTCTGGCTTTTATTTAAGTGGTGGTGGTTGGGGAGAAGGGAGGCTGGGTGGATGACACAGCAGGAGAACTTTGGAGCGGGTGACATTATCTGCTGCTTAATTTCAGAAGGGGAGAGCCGCCGCCGCCTCAAAGCCCTGCAGATGTACTTGCAACTGGCCAGGGAGCGAACGCGAAAGGGCAGGACTGAAAGACAGAAGGCTTCGCTCCTGGGTGGGGGCCAGGAGGGGGTCGTCACACAGACACGGGCGGCAGGACAAAGGCAGAAAGAGTCCAGAGACTCTCCTTGAGGGAGGAGAGAGGGAGGGAGGTCTGCAGCAAGGTCCTAAGGTGCAGAACAAGCTGGCCCAGCAGGGAGGATGCCTGGAGCCCCCTCTCTCCCTGGCCAGAGCAGGGGAAAGGGGGGGAGGGGGGAGGGGGGAGGTCAACACCGTGGACAGCTGTCAAGTCCTCTCCTTCTGAAGGAAGGTGCAGGGCAGAGGAAGATGGGGTGGGGAGAGGTTCCCCAGTCCACATGAGAACTTGATGCATGAGAGGATAAAATAAGGCCAGGATCACAGTGCAAAAGCCACGAGAAAACCTAGAAGCCTCCCCCATACCCTCCAGGAACAAAGTCTCAGCATTGTGACTGATGATGGGGAGACAAGCAGCCAGGCTTTCCATTCTGATGCCCAGGCTGGTGGCCACATATGCCAGAGGCTGGCGGGAAGATCTGCAGGGGCCCCAGGCCAGCCTCCCGCCTGATCTGAAGCCACTGCCCTCTGCTTCTCCACTCTGGTGGCTGACCCCTCCTGCACCTGCTCAGGTCACCCCGGCCCAAAAGCGTCCTAAGAACAGGGCTGGCACCGGGGCTATAGCTTGGGAAAGGCTGCCAACCTCCAGAAGGTTCTTGCCAACTGAGCAGAGACCCCGGCTTTTCCCTGTCCCTTCTTTCAGTCCCGGCACACGCCAGGCTAACTCTCTCCACTGAGCCCTTGCCGCAAAGGACTATCCTCCACGTAAGGACTCCTCTCCCTGCCCCTGCCCCGCATCTGCCCTGGCCATTCTGGGTCCTCCCCAGTGCCCAGTCTGCAAGCTTACTTTCCAGTTAGCCCGACCAGCACCAAATCTGACTCGATCATGGTTTATACCACGTGGTGATCCACAGTCACTGATGCGGACCCAGTCCCCCGAATAGCTTCTCGAGGTTGGCATTCTTAGCCTCACTATGCAGAGGAGCTGGCTCACTTGACAAAGTCACGCAGCTAGAAGCTATGGGGCCAGGACTGAAACTCAGGTCTCCAGACTCCACTATTTGTCAGCTGTTACTACTCCCAACCCTGCTAGAAAAATCAACTTACTTCCTGGTGATCGTGGCTCAAAAGCCTCAAGTGTCTCTTCTCACTCAATTGTCAACCTCTTTAAATGCTGAGGGACATGTGCACCTTTCCTCTGGGGCTGCCACGACGCTCTGCGTGGGGGTGTGCAAAGAACAGTGTGAACTCCACAGCTGGGCCAGCCAGCTCCCCTTCTCCCTGGCCAACCTTTCTGCAGAGGAGGAGGGCCCCGGCCTTGGAAGAAGAGGGCTCTGCCTCACCCCTGTCCCAGGCCCTGGGTCTTACCTCGGAGGAAATACTTGAAGGTCTCCTTCATCATTTCCTTGCGGATCTCAGGGTGGGTGATGGTGTTGAGCAGATGCCGCCGGTCAGGCTGGTTAAAGATCAGGTCCCCCAGGACCTTGCGATTGATGTCACCATTCTCCAGCAAAACCTCAGTGCCAAAGGCCTCCACAATGCGCCGGTGGGCAGGGTATCCAGGCTGGACAACTGTGGCATGAGGAGGGGGCTGGGTCACTCTCTAGAGCCTCCAGGCCAGCCGGAGGCCCCCAAATGACTAGAGGCAAAATGATGGGGGAACCCCCGGGTGCCTCTTTCCGTTGGAGCAAAAACCAAATGAGGAGGGAAGGCAGTTGAAGAAAAGAGCAGAGCGCTTGGAACCCCTTGAGTGGGTCACAGGGTGAGGTGAAGGAGAGGGATGGGAAAGGGGGGGGGCAGGGAGCAAGAAATCAGATCAGGGCCGACGGGAAAGCCTTCCCCTCCTCCGAGGCCTTGAGAGGACTCAGAATAAGGTGAGACACAATGGCAGAAAGGGGTACAGGGGAGCTGCTGCGCAGTCCCATCACCTGCCCCTCCCAACTCACCATGGCGGGCAATGACGTCAACATCAATCACCGCACAGCCCAGCTGCTGGAACACCTGGATCACCGAGCTCTTGCCTGAGGCAATGCCCCCTGTGAGGCCCACCAGGAACATCTTCCCAGGAACGAGGAGGCCAGTGAGAATGCTGGACCAGGAGCCGGGGAATCACTGGAGTAGGGCACGCGTGGCTGGTTGGGGTGGCCCGCCCCAGGAATGCCAGAAGGACCTGCCTGGGACGACAGCAGGCCTGATGAGTGTTGGGCCTGAAGACCCAGGGTCGGGGGGGGGTTGGGGGGAGGCGAAGGAATGGAAGGGAGATGCGGCCTGCCCAGGCAGAGTGGAGTTCTGAGCTTGGGGAACTCTGGATCCATCCTAAGATAGAAAACTCTTTCCGGACGGGCCTCCAGTAGTCTTTAGAAAACATTCATAAACAAGGCAAACCAACATAGTACAAATTTAGCAATCAAACTGCTGAGTAAGCAGAACAAGGTCAGGTGCTGTTAAGCAGAGTGCTTTCTGGAAGAGCAGTACCCCGCTGCAGGCAAATTTCGCATAGGAAGGGGACACCTGTCCCTCTGTGGTGAATCCAAGGCACTTTCCAGATGCCCACAGAGCCCCCACTCTGGCCTTCACTTTATAGTCTGGGGACACTGAGGCTCATGGGGAAGGATGTCTTGCCTGCCCACTGCCCCCAGCACCAGCACTGTCTGGGTGGCTGGCCTAGACCGGGAAGAATCCTCCCTCCTCAACCAGAAGAGGCCCAGATGGGGAGCCCAGAGGAAGCGGCGGCTCGGGGGCCAGGAGGCCTGAGGTTTAGAGGAGTGTGGATCTTGCCAGGGAGGAATGTGAGGGAAGGAGGACAGGCTGTGGGAGGGAACGCTGACCTGGTGCAGGGGTGTGCGGCTCGCTCAGACTGAGGAGCAGGGGCCTCTGCAGACCCCATTTCTCTATGCACGATGCTGTGTGACCCTGGACAAGTCGCCTGTCCCTCGGAACCTCAGTGCTCTCATCTATAAAATGGGGCTGACGGAACCTATCTTCTAAGGCTGTTTGCAGACCAAATGAGAAAATGCATCGGAAGCCCTCAGGACACTGCCTTTTCCACGGGGAGTGTCCAGGACTGGAAGTGAGGACGGAGACGTGGGATGGAAGGCGGGTGCTGAAGTCACACCGCCAGGCCGGGAGACTAAAACGGACGTTCGTGAAGTAGGGTCCCCATTCTCACAGCCTCCGGCTATCTCACAAAAGACTTGTTTAAAGTCATGTTGCATTTTCTGGAGTAAACAGGGTTACCATGTCTTGGACTTTGCTCCCAGGCTGGAAGAAATTACACTGAAGACCAGGTCTCTCCCATCCCTCCCTCCGCATCAAATCACTTCTCTAGCGCCTTGAAATCTGTCATGGGACTTTTTTTTTTTTTTTTTTGGTAAAACGGCAGATTTACTGTCCTGATTACACTTTGCTTGAGCTTATACAGAAATGAGTTTGCTTCCCCTGAGGACACACTGAGTGACAGGGGGAGGCAGCTGCTCGAATGTGGGTGGTGGGGGGACCAACCCAGAAGTTTAAATCTGCCCAGGCTCGTTCTCCCAGGGCAGCCAGGGGAGGAGAGAGGAGAATACCCACCAGAGTCGTCATCCAAATGGAGAGACCTAACTCAATCATTAAACCATTTGCAAAGCATTTCTCCTCAAACTCTGTGGGCCTGGAGTCGCCCCCCGGTGGTCTCCCTCCAGTTGACACAGAGAGGACTGAAGGGTAAGGTTCAGTTGTCAAAAAAAATTTTTTGTTCGCTCAGCTGAAGCTTTGAAATGGAAAATCCAGCAACAGCATTGTAATCCCAGCTCTGTCCTGTTGTCCCCAAAGCCATGAGCTTGCCTCTCCTCTGCAGAAGACCGATCTGGAAGAACGGGGGTGGAACCTGAGAAGAGGCGGTGGCGGGCGGAAGGGGCAAGGGCCGATTCTGCCCCGGGCCCTGGCCCCTCACTGTTGAAAACAAGCCACTATCAGCTGGGCACCCAACTTTGCCAGACTTGGCTGAAGGGGCCCAGCAGAGCATGTGACCTCAGCTCCTGCCCGTTCACAGGACCAGGACCCCTCCCGAGACACGCTGAATCGGAATTTCTAGCGATGGCGATGGCGCAGCTCTGCTGAGTCACAGGCTTGGCATCGACTTTAACTCTTCATTGACAGTGAGGAGATTAAGGACCAGAGGGGAAGGGACGTACCCGTGGCCACAGCTATTACTGGAGCCTGACATGAATTCAGGGCTCCCACCTCTGACTCTAGACTCCTGCCTTAACATGCTCAGGAAATGAAAAATTAATTTATCCTTAGACTAAGAGACAATAAGGACGGTGAATGTGGCTATAGGCAAATCAATTCAGAGCCAAAGAAAAATGATTTCTACATGATCATATTGGTGTTTGCCCTCTGCAGAACAGGGGGTGAGGTCTTATGGACAGCAACCAGAGCACAGATGTCAATTCCAGGCTCAGCTCTGCCCCAGACTCTTGGGGTAACTTAATGAATGTCTACCGTTCTCTGTGCTTCGGTCGACCATCTGTGGAAACAGACCAACAGCTGCTTGGCTTCTGTCAGGGAGGCCGAGGGGATGGAGGAGCACATGCTCTGGGAGGCCGTGGGGGGCCCCTGGCTGAAAGGGGCTGGACAAATAACAGCTGTTCCCATCCAACAAGCCGTCCATAACTCATTCCTCTAACTGAGGACTGAGCCCCTCTGTGCCTTGCAGCGCCGCATCGGGGACCTCTTGGGTAACCAAAGGAAAAAATGTAGGTCCTGCCCCTCAGGAAAACTGGACGGAGAGACAGTAACACGTGAAAGCAGCCAAGAAGAACAGAGAAGCCACAGGTGAGCCAGAGTAATCACACGCTACTCACCCTGGGCCGGGGTGTGTGCAAGCGTGCGAGCGTGTGAGCACGGACCCACTCACAGGCCTGCTCACGGACCTGCCCATGGGGGCAGCTGCAGTGAGCCAGAGCCCATGTCCCCTGTAGGCTTAGCAAGGAGGCAAAGACAGCTGAGGTTGCAACTGCCCCTCAGACTCACCTAGACCTGTCTGGCAGCTCCTTCCCAGGGAGACCCATGGAGAAGTGAACACCTCGGGTAACCTGTGCTCCTGACCCCGCTGCTGCTCTGGCTCGGAAGTCCTTGTTTCCCCTCATCCCGCCGCCATTTACGTGCAGGCAGCGGGAACCTCACAGCAACTCCTAAACCTGGCCCTGATCTGAATCCCCTATGAAACGTCAGAAAAGGTACAGAGACCCGGGCTCCATCCTACTGTCCCAGCCAGCACGGCACCAAAACCGCTGCTAAAATGGAAGGTTAGGGGCGCCTGAATGGCTTAGTCCATTGAGCATCTGCCTTCGGCTCAGGTCATGATCCCAGGGTCCTGGGATCGAGCCCCGCATCGGGCTCCCCGCTCGGCGGGGAGCCTGCTTCTCCCTCTGCTTCTGCTGCTCCCCCTGCTTGTACTTGCTCTCTGTCAAATAAAGAAATAAAATCTTTAAAAAAGTAATAAAAATAAAGTGGAAGGTTGTAGACTGTAAGTCAAGAAGCCTGGGTCCCCGTCTCTCTGCATTCTGCCATAAAACTGTGTGACAGTGGGAGCCTTCTCACCAGCCTGGCTCAGGGTGGTAAGTGCTCCATAAATGACAAAAAGCTGATCCCCCAAATGCCTGCCCCTGTCTGACCCTCAGTCTCCACACCTGTGAGCGTGGGGCTGATGCTAACTGGGGCTTTCTTCCTCCCTTTTGTAGTGTGGCACTTCGCAGAGCTGTCCGGAGATGTTCGCCTGGGAGACCAGTGAATGACAAGACTGCTGGTGACCCGGGAATCCTCCTCCTCAATACTAAAAGCTGTTCCCAGAGCCAGCTTGGCTGGAGGAGGAAGGAGACGCCGAGTCCCATGGTAACAGAGAAAAGCAAATGCCCAGCACAAGAGAAATGGAAGCTGGATTCCGGGAAATAATCCCAGGCCTGGCTGCATCAGCCAAGGCGGGCCTCCAATCCCAGGGGAGCCACATCCAAATCCTTTCTTCTCCCTCACTCTCCCTGTCTGGGGAAAGACAGCAGGGTGTAAAGAAAAGGGTTGGGACCTGAGTCACAGAGGTGGGGTCTGCAGTCCATGAAGTGAGGAGCGAATTTCACTGTGCCCTGTAAGTGGTGGGGGGGGGGTCCCTCTCGTTGAGCTTCCCCAAACTGCCTTTCATTTTTCACGCCTTGGGCACCAACAGCCCAGAGAAGATGAAGAAAAAACATTCAAGGAAGAACAGTCTTGGGGCGCCTGGCTGGACTGGTCAGTGGAGCATGCAATTCTTGGTCTCAGGGTTGTGAGTTTGAGCCCCACATTGGGTGTAGAGATTACTTAAAAATAAAATCTTTAAAAAAAAGTCTCTCTTGGAATCTTTTCTGGTGGTGTTTCTTAGGGAAAAATGAGAGTAGGCGGCTCCATGGGTCTCCAGACACAAAACCCCGCTGCCCCTTGCTGTCTGTCCTAGCTCCGACTCCACTGGGCCCACCCTACAAACCTAAGTCCCATCCCCTGCACCCAGACCTGACCAGTGGCCTCTTGACTCCACCCTCCAGCCCCTGCCTGGCTTCTCCCAAAATGGCCAGGGTCAGGGCTTCAAGTGGACTTCTGATCATGTCACTCCCCTGCTTAAAACCCTCACTGCCTCCCTCCCTCTCCTCCTAGCCTCCTAGCCTCTCACAGAAGCCTCTGGGCCCCATGTAACCTACCCACCTTCGACCC